ACCTTTTCCATTCAGTTCCATTCATGTGGAGGAAAGAAAGTGTGGTATTCAGGGCATCCAGGGCAGATTCTGGCATGTGGCATTCAGAGCTGCATGAGCGGCTGGCTATAAGTGTAATTCACAACCCCAACCTAATAGCTTCAGGTAGACTCTCCCAACGAATCAGATTTTGGCCGATGACGGCGCGGCCGACAAAGCTGAGGACAAAGCCAAAGCTGAGACCCATCAGGCGCCGGTTGGCTTCGTGGGTTGGCTTCGTAGGTTGTTTCAGACGTGAAGGGACCATGCTTCGCGTGTGTGACGAAGGGTTTGTCCAGAATCACGATTTGGGTCCAGGCCAACTGAACCATCCACTGAAGCCAAATGGGACATACTTACCCAACAAGCCAAAAGAGGTTGAACCCTACAATTAGGAGTCCCTAACGGCTATTGACTACACGTTCACTATCCCAGTTCGGTACCCACGTGACCGGGCCCTAGTGCAGCTCACCAACCACCGAGGGGATACCACGCCTGGGAGGTCTATCCCAGACACTCCATGGGACTGGAATATATTCCCCCTAGGGATCCAAGCACCCTCTCAGAAGGTACCATAACAGTGTCTCCAATCACATTCTGAGAAGGTACTTGGATCCCTAGGGTCTTACATTGACCCCTCTGGCACCACCCCTGGCCTGATTGGTAGTCCGGACTGCCAGTCCCATTGGTAAATCTGGAGTGTCTACCTATATGTGAGCCACCCAGAACCCAGATCGACATGAGCCCCACACTCCGACCTCAGAGCTCCGACGAAGCCAGGGCCCGGGGGGTCGGGTCACGGCCCAGGGTGAAAGGTCTTTTGACCCCCAAAACAAACCAAGAGAGGTTATATAACTGACCTGAACGTTCGGACCCGGAAAACCAGGGGTACCGAACTAGGATAGTCTAGTTCCGGTTCTGACCCACCTCTGCTGGAACTATCGCTGTGAGAAAAAACCCTCGCGGCACAGCCGTTGCACAGCGGTGTTGCGCACGAACAGGCCTTGAAAGCGGAGGAGCTTTTTTGCGAGGATGGGCCCAGATCAGATCCAGTTTTCCTACAAGACCTGGATAATTAGGGCATTTCGACATTTTTGCAAAGAAAAAATATATAGGTCTATGTCAGGATATTTGAGACATACATGGGGCATGCATAAGGATTTGGCCAGCAAAAGGACTTGGGAGCTTGGTGTTCATTTTGTCACAGATGATTCAGACCAGTTTTAGTCAACTCGCGACCCGGCATCAAATGCACACGAGGATTTGCTTCTGTTGAAAACCACCTTGACTGCAGCCTTCACACCGTCAGCCCTGTCCTGCTTGGCTGGTGTCGTTTGGAGGGTTGCAGCGCAACAAGTTTTTTGCGAAGGTTTGAAGGAGATTGGCCATCACCAGTAAGAGAGAGAGTGGATCTTGATGGATTTTGTCACCAATCAGTGAATGATGGATTTTGCCGTGGGAACCCAAGTGTGAACCTTTGTCAGTTCATTGCTGCTCTCGCTGCTGGCCCATTTGTAGGAGACCAAGCTATGCCTCACTTCACATGGGAACTCTGGGCTCAATCTATGCGACCTTGGATTGAGCCAAGGGCCTTGAATACCGGGGCCACTAGTGACATTGTCTAATGATGAATCCATATGCATATATGCGTATATATACGCGTCATCAATTCTTCGGAGAGGATTTTATGCAACTTCTTGGGACAAACTTCCAACAGAGGTTGGTGGACCCGACCCGAACTCGACTATCCCATATAGGTACCCCAGGTTTTCCGGGTCCGAACGTTCAGGTCACTGGATACCTCTCTTGGTTTGCTGCAATGTAGCGAAGAGTTCCTCCGGAACCGGCTCGACGTATGTGTCTTCCTGCCAGGCTGTACGCTCACGGCATTCCCCGTTGCCGCTGGGCGATGTCACAACCTGTCGGGTTGGGATGAAAAGAAGGTGGCCTTCAAACGGTTTGTGACGCTTTTGTTGATTCCCTACCATTTTGTAGAAGTTGAAGTGAAAGCATGCTAGCATTGCTTGATCATGCTTGATTTGACATGGAATTGCTATGAATTCATGTCAGCTTTTCATCCTTCCTTGGCCACTCCCCTGCGGTGCCCACTCTCACCCTTCTCTCGCCCACTCTCACCTGTCGACTTCTTCACATCGGAGAACTCCGGCTTCAGCACCGAGCGAACCGGCCGCCCACCGGGCCGAGGCATGGACTACACCAGCATCAAAGGACCAGATCGTCCGAACACCAGCGGAGGAAGAAGCGAAAGCCAACACCACCGAGGATGGATTGAAAGAGGGGAATCGGCACTCAATGTGTTGGTCCTCGGCGGAGCATTCATGCACCCCCCCTTCTAGGCCATCCCTATAGCCATCCCAGCATGCATGCTTAAAAATGGGTTGACCTGGTTTTGCTGTGTAGACTCCGTTTCAACCATGGTTCTTCCGTCAAGGGTTCTTTGAATCCAAAGGGAATCATGAAGTCGCACCACTCCAGCTGCTGACAGAAAAAAGATGAAACAAAAAGCGCTTTTCAAAAGGGATTCTCAGAGTGTTGGACCGATCGAAGCGCGGAATTGGAGAATCTGGGGCCTGGGCTGAACATGCAACCCAAGATAGATTTAGTGACCTGAAATGGGATAGTCTATAGATGTCTATAGTATAGGGTCCTCCAACCTCTGTTGGTGCATGAGTGATGGTTTTGTGCTATATGTTCTACCCTTCAGGACTGACATGGAAAGTTGCTCGCACAAAACATCAGTGCTGAGGTGGTGATGGGCTCACATTGGTTCCCATACCTGGTTCCCGTTACTGCAGACCTGGATTCTATTTCAACTCCCCATATGAAGAGGCTTCATGTTTGGCAATTAATATGTTAATATACAGTATATACCTGGACCCTCCAAAGGGGGGCCAATGGACTACCCCACACTATATAGATGTTTTGGGGGGCGCTTCATTCATCTAAGAGATCTACATGACTGCAGAACCCAGCTCCCACAGTCTGGGCGCTTCGTCTTCCGCGCTTCCGCGCCGCTGAGGGGCAGGTGATGAGGCCAAGGCACGGCGGCTTCCGGTGAGTCCGTAGAGTAGAGCCAAAGCAGCGAAACCATAGCAAAACGCTTCCAACAGCAAGGTCAAGGGCTACCCAGGCTACCCATCAGTTGGATTCGTTGGTTCCTTTCTTTTTCCAGATTCCTTGGTGTCATAGCGGCAGTCCAGAGTCCAAGCTCAGATACCCCGAACCAACTCCGAGAATCGCGTCGTTCTGCGTCGCAACGAGGTGGAAGGACAAGCTGTGACCTTGAAGGCTGACCCTCAGTTGGCCAAGGCCCCGGTCCGGTCGGCGTCCGGTCGTCGTTTCTTTTCTCGTTTAAGACGGAGGGGTCAGGTTTGGATGGGTTTTGGTTTCATGGGGTTGGAGAAACCCAGACCATCCATGGATGGAACAGTTACCTGCATTAGGGCCATAAATGGGGTAAGTGATGGCAAGTGTATAATATAACCTTGTATATACAATTCCATACATGGATGCGGGTTGAAGAAAGGACAGCGGCAGTGGAAGGGGGACAAAGTATGGAGCCAGACATCAGAGTTTGGTGATGACCTCGGGGCTCTTTTTGAGCAATTTCATAATAAGATTTAATCTACCTAACGCTTCCTGTTTGGGTGTCCAATGGTGACCTATAAGCAGTGTAGGGTTGTCCAGCCAGGTAACCCCGAACGGAAGCAGCTGGTAGTATCATGATATCATGTGACCTGTCTAAGACTCCATGGCTCTCAGATGATTGAATGGGTTACGGTTACCGTTTGTTTCAGGGCACCTTGGGAGGGTCCAGGCAACCGCTTGCCCGCGCCGCCACACCGCGCCATGCCGCGCCATGGGGCAGGTTCATACACAAGCGTTGGCCAGACCAGACGTCGCAGCCTTGAGGTGGAGGTCGTGTTGTGTTGTTTTTAAATCCACTCCATACATTTCGATCCACTTAGGACACTGGACATAGAAACCCGGTGTATTTGTTCTTAAAAATGGCGAGGAGTTGGGCAGCAGCCAAACCATATTTTTCTGAATTTCAAGACCCCTCCATTGCTTTGAGCTGAGTGAAGCAAGTTCCATCACTGGGGATTCGAAGACATTTCTCAAACGGTTCGAAGTCGACCGACCTCGGCGACACAGGCGAGGCTAGACGGCTAGGCTCACAGCAATACGGCACTGGTCACAGCAAACAGAAGACAGGGATTGGCACGCAAGGACTCAAGGGGCTCAAGGACTCCTGAGTGGAATACCATGAATAAACCTTCAGTAAACCTGATTGGTTGGCTCAAGGACGATTGGAATCACGGCACTGATCGCTCAAGATCTCAAAGAATCCGGGCCCCTTCAGCAACAGATCGGTTCGGGCCCGGACCTTCCCCCTGCGTGAAACGGTGGAGAAGGTCCGACCCCGACCCCCATGGAGAGCCCGGACTCGGATTCTTAGGGGAATAAACCTTCAGTAAACCTGCAGAGTCGTCGGTGAATAATTAGAGAAAGGGCTGCTGCCTAACCATCGACCATCATGCATTGAAACCTGGCAATTGGATATACCGTATAGTGTGTAGGATATATATGCGCAAAATAAACCCCTTTGCTCAACAAAACACCTAGGATGCATAACTTGCTTGTAGGATGAGTTTTTGCTCGATGATGGGTTGGTTTTTATGGACCCAAGGCGGGAATCCGACCCAAGCTTGAAAGGTGCCCAAAGGAGGTGGAGTTCGGCCCAGCCTAGCAGCTAGCATGTGTCAAAGAGAGTTCTTTTCCGCTTGGTCTTTGGGCACCGAATCACTGGTTCTTCAATGGTGTTCGATGGTTTTCCATGTTGAATTCAACATTCTGATGCATTCGAAACCGCTTTCCAAGGCACCGATGTGTCAAGCACGCCGTCCACTTGGGCGGATCGAGAACTACCCATTCGTTCTTCCCATAGATCACTCCCAAACATGTCCACTGCAGCATTGACCGATCAGTTCAGCTCGCTGGTTTCAGGAATTCGCGTCATGTCCAGTTGTGTTGAGGGCGTTCGGTTTTTCTCGCGCGTGCATCCGAAGATGTATCGATGCCTTGGAAGATCCAAAGCCACTGGGCTGGAAATCATGTGCCCCGTTTGGTGTAGCACTCCCCCACCTCAACAAAACAATGTCGTGGTGCAAAAGTTGTGGCCATTCTTTTTACATGTCAGACATGTGTTGACCACCTTTTGATCTATCCTGGAGGTGAGCTACGCTTCATCCATCATGTCGCATGTGTGAAGATATGGGAGATCAACCTTGAACTTCACTGTGCAAGATCTCAACCAATGCCCTTTTCACTTGTGGGGATGAAATCAATTTGCCGAAGCTGCCTGTTTATTTCAAGCGAGGGCGAAGTCAAGGCTACTTGTTCAGCCGGGCATGCACGGATGTTGGGGGTTCAGAGTTGGTGATGCAGGTCAACCTGTCTGGTTTTAGGATTGGGATTTTAGTATGTATATATAAATATATTATTGTGTGTCTTCATTGGCCCTGATGGTGATTCCCCTTCTGGCAAATACTTTCCGCTGCTCAGGTCGGGCTCAGCCGCGGGCTCCGGCTCCGCGGGCGGCAGCTGACTGCACTGGGCAGCGGTCGCTTCCGGCTCCATGAGCCGGGAGTGGACGAAGAGCAGCTCCTACAGGGCCTGCCCTCCATGGCGGAGGTTAGGACCGGAGGGGAGGGCGGGTCACCGGCCGAACGGAACGAGCCTTTGGTGGAAAAAGGAAAGAGTTCGACACCCAGAACTCTTTCTTGCACCTTGCGGTTGAGAAAGATTAGGGTTTGTTCTTTCATACCTTGGTGCTTTTCTTGCAGGCAGCTTTTGTTGAAAGCAAACTTTTAGTTTTCACGTTTGTTCTCACCGTTGTTTCACTGCAGGTTTGGAGAATCAATAGCATCGGGAGCTTTTGTGATCGTGCAGGGCAGTGCCTTTTTTGTTTCTCAATCATTACTGGGAATTGCTGGGAACAGGAATCTTTTATAGATCCACCGGGCGCATTATACGTGTTAATATTTTTTAGATTTTATAGCATGCTGTTTTGTCAAAACGACAACCTATGAGTTGGGTATCAGTCTCTCCAGCTGCCATTTTGGATTCTCAATCTCAAATCCATCACCTGTGGTTGGCCGACCAATTCCACCAGAAGTGGAAAGTGTTGATGAACCAGCGGGGGTAGCGGTGAAGGTGTCCTAAACTAAAACGTTTTTTGGAGCAGCAGAGCATCCCTCTCCGTACGACACCAACGCCCCACTCCATGGCAGAGTCAGTTTTCAGTGGCACCGTTTGGGGTTCGACGGTCCCCACGTGCTCAGGTGGAGCACTTCGCCAGGTACTGGAAGCAGCGAGTGCCATGCCCAGACCCCTGGGTGACTCGGCAAGAATCCCAGACACAACCATTTTTAGGCTGGCAGATGTGCCAACTGTCACCATGCTCAAGCACTTCAATGTAATATACATGATGCGTCGTCCCATGTGTCGTGTTTGGGGATGGCATGGAATGTCAGAAAGGGGTGATTCCACCTGCCTCACGTTTTGCTGACATGGACGAGATGCTTGTGCCGTCCCATGAAATTCCAGGTCGTTTCAGTGGCACGTGGTGTTGCCGTTGTTTGTTTCCTCTCCGGTGGATTAACGACGCCGGACGCTGACGCCGCACGCGGATTCACGACGCCGGACGAAGTCAGGTAGTTTTGATGGGTTGAAGGTGTGGAAGAAAGACATGTCAACTAGACGGTGACTAACGGTTGGTTTGGCATGATTCTATCCCAGTGGGGGTTTACCATGCCTGTTTGATTTTGACCCTTGTTTTCCGTTGTCAGTTCTACCTGTGTTTCATCAGGTGCCTCATGTGGTTTGATAATCCCTTGGACTCAACATCGACACCTGCTTTGCGCTGCTTTGCGCGGGTGAGAGGGTGGAGGGTTTGAGCATCCAGGTTTTGGGAGATTTCGGTCAGAAAAGTCATTGCTCCATGGTCCCTTTGTTGGTACTTCAGATCAAATTTTCCGCTGGAGTGTGCATATGCGTGAATTATTGTGCATTGTGAAGCAGAACGTGGTGACCATGGTGGGTGCTGGAGTCCGGATGAGGAAGACGGTGGTTAAAGCGATTGCCCACTTGAATGATGAGTCCCTCAAAACCCTAGAGATTTGAGGGTCCGGACCCTCCATATGAGGGTCCGGCCCTACTTAGGAGGGTCCATGAGCGTCTGGGTTGTTTGTGGCATTTGTTGTTGCAGACAACGCCACGGTTTCTGCCGCGTGCATGCCTCAGAGAGGCTCCAGTGGAAGGTTTCTACATTCTGTCCCTGTATGGACGTGCCCGGCGCAGAGTCTATTTCGGGCGCTATGAGACGAAGAGGCGTCCAGGGAAGAAGCAGAGAGAGGAGGGATATGAAGAGATCCTGATTTGGGGTTAGGTGAAAATGTCCGTCGCCGTCAAAGGTTTCTTTCTAAGGTTGTACTGAAGATAGATAGTTCAAAGTGATGTGCATGTGGATTGTCGGGTCGCCGTGGTCCGTTGTACAATACGGTGAACAGTTGTCATAGCGAGACTGCTTAGGAAATTCAGAAGCCTTTTGCCGATCCAGGAGTTGTTTTGTTCTCTGAGGGGGGGTGAGCCTTGGCCGCCTCGGCCACCAATGTTCATGTTGTTGTTTCCGTCGTGGTTTAACACACTATGGGAGATCAAAAGGAAACGCAGACACATCATACACCTGTGGATTGGAAGGTCTACTGAGTCTACCGTGTTCAAGCCACAGACAGACATGTATGTGGACACCCCCTAAATGATTACCACAAACACCAAACCAAGCTGCTCAGACACTGCTCCGAATACGCAACAGTCCCTTTATTGAACACATCAAAAAAGAGAGGATGTGCAGGTGAAGTTAGTCTGTACCAAACACTCCATCGATGGGGGTGGTTGAATGGGGCATTTATATGTTCCCAGTCCCATCAGAGTGCATGGCTTATAATCCCTCGGGCATGATCCTTAGAAGGTGGCCACAGATACTCCTGGCACCCAAACCAAAACGGAGCTAGGCCCATGTCGCCCGTGTGAATTCCAACGAGCCTCACTTCTCCCATCATACACCTGTCGAAGGTTGATGGAGCATGTGCTTTGGACGAGCTGCATTCGCCCATCCTTTGAAGGGGAAGAGCTTCTGCCGGCACCCACGATCCTGCTGGCCACCTATGGCACGGCATTTTTCCGGCAAAAGGAGAAACACGTGGGTTAAGACGAGCGCAGCGCAGCGCCATGCGAAGAAAACACGCCATTCCGTTTGATGTGTTTGAGCTTTATATAGTAGGTGTTCGAGCATTGTTGAAATTGAGCAATGGTCGAACAGCCAGGATGTTGGACAAACATGACATGTGTTGTAATTAATAGACATGCTTTTTTGTGCATGGCCCCCTCTCGTCGGAACCTCCTTGGAAAATTCATAGTTAAAGATTTGTCTTGAAGTGATGTGGACAGTCCATATACTACTGTAAAGTTTGCACGTTCATTAACCCATAGCGGTTACTGTATGTCCAGGGCACCCTTTTTTGTCTCTGTCTCTCTCTCTCTCTCAGCATGTGCAGGGTGCCCATCCATTCTCATGTCCATGAACACGATGCTTTGCAAGGGAACCTCTGAATGTTTGTAAGAGTCCTCTAACTCCCCCCTTCCCAAAGAAAATGGCGGCACATGCTGCCACACGCTGGTATAATTTGCTGTTGTTCCCCACATCTCTGTGTGGGGTTCTAGTTTTTTGGCTGCCATCCCGCCCGACTCCGTCCTTCCCGCCGTCCGTCCCTCCCTCCCTCCCCTCCCTCCTTCCCTCCGTCCTTCTGTTACCACACACAATCATCTCATCATCTCACACACACACTCATCTTGTCATCTCACATCTCACATTCACACACACGCAACACAATTATTTCATCAGCTCACACTTCGACAATTTGTATTCAGTTAGCTCAATTTCCCGATGGGAAGGATGGCGGTGGAACGGCATGGTGATTGGGTCAGATCACTTGAATTGTTTAACATAGTTTCCCTCGCTCTGCTGAACAAACGCTGCACATCTGCGGACGATCGGCGGCTCAGCTGCTGAAAGAAACCTGTTTTGGGGTGGTAGCATGAAGGACCAAACCGATCAGATTGGACAGCTTGTGCAAAAGTTGGTCGCAGGTACACACAGTTGATCAGACTGTGCATCCACCGACAAGCATAGCTTTGTTAGCCAGCGTTTGCTTGTCGGCCGCTGGCCCCCTGCCCATGTAAAGTGGAAAGAGTGGTGGTGGAAGACCCTTTGTCCAGGGTTGGACACACACAGGTCGCCGCATTCGGCGCTTTTTTCAAAAACCGGTGGCAGGCGTGGTAGTTATGCCCCTTTTGGACATATAGGTTCACGAGTTCGGCCGCAGCAGCGTCAGCGCTGGAGGGTGGAAATGTGTATTTTCGAATGGTGTGGAGTCGTGATTGGAGGCCTGATAGAGCCAAGCGCTGGCTCCCGGCGGTTGTGGAATCCCGGATTTTCCAGGGTTGAGAAGGTTGCATGTAGGTGATAGTGCGTTGTGGGAGGTCGATGTTGAAACCGAGGAGATGAAAATCCTCCACCGGTTCTAGTTCCACAGGGTCGCCAAAGAAATTGTGGTGGATAAGGGTTTGGATAGCCGGGTGCTGAAGGAAATGTTCGTTGTGGACAATGAAACGGTTGTCAACATAGCGATAGTAAGTAAAGTGGAGGTCCGTGTGTTGAAGGAGGTTGTTGTGTATCTGATGCCAGGAGTGCTCAATGAGGGTGATAGCAACGTTGCATAGGGCTGGAGAGAGCTGGGATCCAATCCCGGCCCCTCGGATTTGTTTGTAAGTGTTGTTGCAAGCCCGGAAAATGCATGTGTTGAGGGCAAAAGCCACAATGGTGGTGATGTCGGAAGTCTGGATAGGGTGTTTGCGATGGTGTCTGCCAATGTGGGAGTGGTGGAAAGGGTTGCCGGTGGCCTGGACATCCACCGTTAAGGTGTGTGTGGATTGCTGTTGTTGCCAATGGAGGACAAGGGAGTGGACTGCATCGATGAGTCGGTGCTGGGGGACGGAGTTGAAAAAGCCGACCAGGTCATCGTTGGTGGCGTGCAGTGAGATGTCGAGTGGGGTTTGGGTGAGGTAACTGTGAAAGTGGTGCCAAAGCTGAGGAATGGACATTTGGCCTGGATGCTGAGGGTAGAGGTGTTGGAGGATAATGTCCAGGGCACGGCTGGTGATGCGTAGCAAGTTGCCGCTTAGTGATTGGAAGTAGGATATAATTGTACGGCCTTTTTGCCAGTGCTTCTTCTCTTTGAGGTGGACAACACCGTAGGGGATGTTGAAGTCTTTTCGGAAACCCCACTTGTAGCGGGTGCGCAGGATGGGGGGGACAGTGGCGGCCAGGTGGTCATGGATGTTGGCGGCAGTGATGTAGGGAAGTGGTTCAAATAGTTCGGGGGATTGCCAGGTGTTCAAGGCGCCAGTGAAGTATTGGCGAGGGCAGAACAGTCGGAGTTGTTGGAGCTCATGATCGGCATGGTGGAGTAATGTGTGTTTACCCAAATGTTCTTGGAGTTGACGAAGCAGGCGGGCCGTAAAACGGGGTTGCTGCTTTAGGTGTGTGTTGTGAAGGCGCCATTGGTGCTCAAGGAAAGGCTGTAGGTGTTGAACTAGGGATGGTGGAAGCCCTTGTAGTTTGAGCCATTTGGTGTAGGCCGTCTTGAAAATGAGGAAGTACCGAGCTTTGCTTGGGTAATAGGTGCTGTTCATATTGGCGTTGAGAAAAATGCTGAGGTGTGTAGGGAGTTGGACTTGGTCAAGTGTAAGGATGTAGTGGCCGTTGATGGTAGGGGTATCGGGATCCTGCAGGAGGGTGCGAAGGTGATCGCATGCACAGGGGAGGTCTGCTGGATCTGGCGGGGAGTGGAGGGTGTCCTCCCATGTGCGATGGTTGTGCAGGTGGGAGCGGAGGGTTTTGTGGGCGGCTTCTCTCAGTCTGTGGGAGGGGAGGTGGAGGGGAATGGTGAAATGCTTGTGCTGCTGGATGGTAGTACGAAGCCATTGTTGGCAGTGCTTGGTAAAGTCGTCATGGGCCAAGAAGGGCACTGTCAATGGGATGTTTGGTTTTGGTGGCGTGAGGTTGCGGTAGATCAAGGCTTTGTTGAGGATGTGAAGAGCTCGGCTGCGGCCAGGTTCTTCCAAGTTTGCGGCCATACGCCGGATTGCATACACCTCGAGGTCCGTGTGGCGGCCGCTTCTTAGCTGTTTAGCTGCCTCAAAGGAGGCTGCGGTGTGTTTGGTAAGGTTGCGAAGAAGTTGGAGGGCGTGATGCTTAGTGGAAGTGTAGAGGTGTGGTTCTCTGAGGGTGTACTGGCGTTGTCGAAGGCGTCGGAAAAGTCGTTTGTGGGTGGCTAATCTGGAGTAGAAGTGGGCTCTGTGTTTCGCGAACTGCCATCCCTGAGCTTTGAGTTTGAGGTGGTGGGAAATGAAAGGCCAGTTGAGTGAAGGCATCCAGTTGGCGATGTAGTGGTGCTCTTGGATCCAGGCTTGGTCGTATGTGTCATGGGAGGTGAGTTGAATAGTGGTGTAGTGGTGGATGTTGTTGTGTGAATGCCAATAACGTAAGGAGAGTTCTGCAGAAATGGGAATGTTATTTTGAAGTTGTTTTAGTTTGGCGCGGCGATTGTGCTCGCGGTGGGGGATGCCGATAGCTGTGGAGCCAACGTAGAAGTGGCCATGTTGATGGTAGCAGCGTTGGGGCTGGTCGGGATTGAAGTGGAGCTTGATGTAGACGGAATTGGAAGAGAGGAAGTTGTGGTAGTGGTAGGTGTGGGGTAAAATGTGGAGCTGGCGGAGACGGTTGCGCCATTGTTGTGAGCGACGGGTGTTGGATGGGTATGCGAAAAGGAGGGTGATGTGGATGAGGCCGGTTGCAAAGATGGCCTCGGCGCGGTCGATGTATTGGGTGCGGTGGATGAGCATGGAAAGTGCTCGGTGCAGGTGGAAGAGTTGGGTGAGGTTGGTGTGGCTGGGTTGCTGCTGAGCCAGGATGGCGAGTCAGCAACCGATGGCTGCTCCGACTCCCACCAGCTGTTGTAGGCTGCGAATGGGGAGTCGGTTGACCCGGTTGAGGGGTAGGCCATACTTGGTGGCTGCTTCTTTTAGCTGCTGCGTGGTGACTTTGCTTGTTTGCAGCAGTCGGATGACTTCCGTCGCAGCTTCTTGGATGGTGGGGTCGAAGGTAGTGACCCATTGTTGGATCTCTGGGTGGTTCCAGCCTTCGGGGATATCGTCTTGCAGCGTGGGGTGTGGTGGTTGCAAGACGTCGGTGATGGCTGGTGGTTTCGGTGGTGGTGGCGTGGGTGCGTGAGAAGGGGCGGCTGGTGCGGAAGATCGGCTGGTGTTCTTGACTGGTGTGAGTGGGTTGCTCAGGTCTTGGAGTTTCTGACGTGCACGAGCCAGTTCGTCGTTGGTGTTTTTGAGGGCGCGTAGAGCGGAGCCTTCCGCAGGTGCTGGAGAGTGGGTTTGCAGTTGGTCGATAAGCAGTTTGATGAGGGGAGCGTGAAACGCTCGGGCATGGGTAGTTTTGTTGGGAATGTCTGTGCTCTGTTGGGTGTGGAGAGCCTCCGCGATGCCGTCAAGGTCAAGGCGGTTCTCGCGGAGTTGTTGGAGAAAATGGGTCACGAAGACTGACTCCGCTATGCTTCTGGTGGCAATGAAACCTGTGAATTTGCCGTTGCTCAGGGTACGGGCGGTGAACTCGGAGGTACCGTGGTAAGCCAATTGCCACGGGAAAACCTCAAAGGTGGGGAGCCCGGCCACTCCTGCTTTTCGAGACCACTGGGTGGGTTGGATTGTACGATGTAGTTGGTGGCCGTGCAGGGTGTTGGAGTCCCAATGTTGCTCGGTTGGGTTCCAGGAGTCGGGGACAGGTGGTGTGGGAGATGGGATGTGTGGGGGCGGTGGGGCAGGCGCTGTGTTGCCACGTGTGGTGGGTGGTGGCGGTGGGCTGTGTTGGAAAGTCGATGGTGGTGGAGTAACGGGTTCGGCCGTTGGCAGGGGTGGCGGTGGCGGAGGTGGAAACTCCGGCTGTGAGGTGGATGCCTGTGGTGGGGGTGTATGCTGCGATGGCGGTGTGTACGGTGGAGTCACATATGTGTTGGAATGGTGGACGTGGTGTGTACGAAGTGCGTGAGTGAGTGGGCCGTAGGTGCCTGTGGGGCTGTA